CCCCCCCCCCCCCGGTTAAGGCCCTGAGAATCATGATTCCGCAGACTGTGGAAACCGCAAAATTTGCCCCACGCTGCCATTTGTAAGGGTTGCGAGCATAGGCGATGAAAGGCTGGGGCTAATGGGGCTTCGCCTCCTTAAATACGGGGCAGCACAGAGGTCTGTAGGGCAGGCTGGGCATGGGCTCTGGGCAGCTGCAAGGGGTTGGGAAGCACACAAACAGACAGAACCTGCAGGCAGCCGGGACTGCAGCCACATAGCATGCAGAGCACTGCCCACCACAGCAGGTAAGTCAGGGAAGCAGCATGTGGGGGGTGAAGGCTGAGGCCTCCACAAAGGGAGGGAGTGGGGCAGGGGTTAATAGGATCCTGGGGTGGGTGGTGGGACTCCTGGAGCCTGGGCAGCTTGTTCAGCAGTGTGGGGGGACTCCTGCCATTGTGCGCATCTCAGAAGAGGCTTGGGGGGTGGGGGGCAAATGCCCCCAGAATCTGTATACAAGGCAGAGGTGGGCTGCCCACTGCTTGCTGGGTTCTGTGTCCTGAGCGTGGCAGGCACATGACATCATGTTGCTTCCGAAGCAGCGGCAACAGCACACACAGCTCAGCGTGCAGCTGCATCCACTAGGGCTGTGCGGAATTTTAACGGGTGTTTCATTTTGAAGTTGTTTTGAGCTTGAAACGGCAAAATCAAAATGAAATGAGGGCACTTGAAACATTCCAAAACTTTCGAAATGTTTCAAAGCTGGGCTTGCTTGCAGCTAAATAAACTAAGGAGAGGGAGGGGGAAGAGTGGGGAAGGACTGATTTGATATTGACATGCAACTCCCAGTTCAGTTACCCCAGCACTCTGATCATTTCCCCAGCTCTTCCCAGGCGACGCAGGCCCTGGATCTGCGCACGGGGTTTCAGCAGGCTGCTGCTGCAGGCTGGGGCCAGCAGCAGTCGCTTGGCACAGCCCACATCGAGCTCTGGGAAGATAGTAGTGCTTCTGCTGGCCCCAGCCTGCAGTGGCAGCCTGCTGAAACCTGGCGCATAGATCTGGGGGCCCGTGCCCCCTGGGAAGAGCTGGGAAATTGAGCTGGGGACTGGGGAATCAAACTGGGCGCTAGGGGAATGTTCAGGTCCCTGAACGTTCCCCCCAGTTCCTGGTTTGCTCCAGTTCCAGCTCTTCCCGGGGAGCATGGTGTCCCCGGATGATGCAGGATGACTGTAGACTGCTGCTGCCAGCTGAGGATGGTGGTGGCTCTAGGCTATTTCACCATCTGGTAGTGGCCACCTGCTGAAACACCACACGTGACCCGGGGACTGCACCCCGCGGGAAGAGCTGTGAGAATGATCAGAGAGCTGGGGAATCTAACCAGGAGCTCCAGCTGACTGCTGGAACTGCCCCAGCTCCAGGATAGCACGTAGTGCCTTGCTGAGCCACACTGGACCTGCAGCATGCGGCAGCTGTCGCATGGGTGCTAGGCAGTGGGGTAGGGGGACGATCCCCACTGTGCAGAGGGCTCTGCCACAAGAGCCCAGAGGCCCCAGTTGCTGCTGCCACAGCTGGTGAGTGCAGGGTGTGTGGGTTTTGTTTTGTTTTTTTTTTTTAAAGCTCTGCACTAACCGACTGCGGAGCATGTGGATGATGCAGTCGCCAGCTGTGGAGCATGCAGGTGATGGCATGCTGCTGCCAGCTGGGGCCAGCTCCAGCACCCAAGTCTACCTGGTGCAGCCCACCTGCTGCAGCTGGATGACTGACTAAATTGTATGCCAGAGGTGCAGAAGAGAGCCTGAGGCATTTCAGGCATTTCACCAATGCCTGAAATGCCAGCAGAGATGGGCAGTGGAGACTCCCACCCTGCCCCAACATGATCATAACCCCAGGCTACAGAAGAAGGTTCCTTACAAACATGTGCATGGGTGTGCACGCCCAAGTCCATTTTTCAGAAGAGAAAAACTGAAGGAGTAGCAAACTACAAAACAGTTGGCAATCAAAGCTGCAAGGACTGTAATAAGAAAACTTGGACACTACTGTGAAGTCCTGCACATGGAGGGAAGCAATGAACAGGGGATAGATAGTATGGTGGGTGGGGATCTTAGCTGCCTGGAGTAGTTGTAAAACACATGTTTCTATCTTTCTTTTCTATCTTTCTTTCTTTTCTTTTTTTAACCTTAATATATTGTATTAAGACTACTCTTTTCCTTGTACCAGGGAAGGCGAGGAAATAGAGTGTCAAATGAGAGGTTTTCAGAACTGAATTCCACTGTTAGAAGTAGCCTCAACTGTGAGAAGCCTGGGGAAACAAAGAGAATGGCAGAAGCATGCCTGTTGAAGGAAGATGTAACATGGCTTTTTTCCTTTTTTCCTACAAAACAGATTTTTGTAGTTGCAGTGCAGAGCATTTTGTTGGCATTCATTAAATAATCAGTTTGGTTACTATCAAGTTACGTTTATCTTAGCCACATTCATAGCACTGTATGCTTAGAGATGCATAGTGTTGACTGAGAATAGCAAAAACCCATACAGCCCGTTTCTACCAGTATCCTTCACTGCATAAAGTAGGCAAAGGTGTTATGAATATAATTACTGGTATAGGCTATATATAAGGTGACAGATGGGCTGTTAAGAAGCTTTATTTGTTGTTAGCTAAGGATGATCCTGCATTCCACTTCATCTTTGTCACCACTTGTGAATTCTTTAGTTATTCCAGGTCTTGCAAAAAGAATTAATGATGCAGCCCTACACCTTGCTCTAATGCACACGTTTGTGTGCATGCATGTGAGATAGGGGAGCATGAACTACAATAAGCTTTAGTGTCTCAACTAGTGCTTTTAATATTGGCAAATGCAGAAGGTATTCATTTTATAGACTAACTGCCTACAGCACTGTTTAATAACCATTCTGAATAGCAAACAAAAACTTATTTAAAATGGCTGAATAGACTTCTCTTTTGGAAATAAATTTTATAGTTTCGTAGTTTCTAGGGTCGGAAGGGACCTGAGCAGATCATCTAGTCCGACCCCCTGCCATGGCAGGAAAGAGTACTGGGGTCAAACGACCCCAGTAAGGTGGTCATCCAATCTCCTCTTAAAAACCCCCAGGGTGGGAGCCTGCACCACCTCACTTGGAAGCTGGTTCCAGACCCTAGCC